CTATCTATCTATCTATCTATCTATCTATCTATCTATCTATCTATCTATCTATCTACGTGATAAATTGTTTATACAATGTACTCACCACGAAATCTCAGGACAAATCGAAGCTGTTACAAGTCCGTGTAGACTGCAGATAATTCACGGCCACAAACAAACAGTCCAGCTCTACAGAGAATTCCTCTACTCTCACGTTTTGACACACAGGCCGTTAACTAAGTCGCGAGCGATCCCACACCGTGAGAAACTGGCACAAAGGGTCCTATATAAACTGATCACAATCTCAATAATAGCTGATGGTGCAGACCGAGTCTTGTTATGTCGTGTTATGTCCTTTACCTATCACAGTCGAAACCTAGCGCACAGAAAAAACAACAGTTTCGTTACATCGTGACTGACCAAACGAAAGAGCAATATAAAACACAGAAAAAAGTTTTACGTGTGTCACGTCATTTACCTACGTAACACAGCCGCACTGTAGGCTCTCCTAATGCACAGACAAAGTTTGGTTACATTATTTACTTAACACAACCGCAATATAAAGCACAGACCAAGTTTTATTACGTCATTTACTTAACACAGTTACAAAAGATAACACAAACCAAGTTTATTACTTCATTTGCCTAACACAACCGCACTGTATAGCATACAGTTTGATTAGGCCTACGGCACTTTCCTAACACAATGATCGCAAAAATAAAGCACAACGGTTTATTACGTCACTTTCCTAACGCAATATAGTTATAAAGCACTGAAAAAGTTTTATTACGTCATTCAGGTTACACGGTTACAATAGATAACACAGAAAACGTTTGACTACGTCTCTTACCTAACACAACCGCAATAGACAATACGGAGACAAAAGTTGTGTCATGTACCTTACCTAACACAGCCACAATATAATAATACAGCACAGACCAACTTCTATTACGTCCCTTACCTACAGCCACAGTAATACTCGTATTTAAAGCACAGACAACGTTTCATCATGACCCTTACCTGAAACCACCACAATAAGACAAAGCCATTACGTTCCTTCCTTACCCCTACCGCAGTAAGTAACTATCGCACAGACAGGCTCCTTACCCCCTTGCCTAACACAAACACTACTGACCATAAGGATCCTCGCCACTGGCCCGGATAATTCGCCCAGCTGGCAGGGTGCCCTTTTGACAAGGCGCACGCAGCTGTACCGTTAGTGCTTTAAGGAGAGAATTTGGTAGATTGGAAACCGTTTTACGCCTTCATCGACACAATTTTGATCTTTTCAGAGATTGAGTTGAACACAGTATTCCAGCAGAAGGGTAGAGGTTTGAGTGTTGCTGTTTTTTTTAGTTTAGTTTTTTTGTTTTTTTGTTGTTGTTTTTTTTGGTTGT